TTAGACTTAAGCTAGTTATTCTCAAAAGTGTTCTCAAAAATTTTCCAGGTTCAGGTAGACCCCCTGACCCTGTGAAAGGATGTGAGAACAAACACCCTACATGTTGGATACTTTGGCATGTAGGATTGATCTACCAAAAGAATTCACCTCTATCATCAGTTTTCTGGGTTGATAACTTGGGCTGGTAACCAGGTTGTTAACCAACCAGGTCGACTTGGTGAGAGGAGGTTGATCAGGGAGAACCAAACAGTAATGGAGGGCTGTTACTGAAAACTGGTTCCAGGGTTGTCCGTGTCTTGTGGTTTTGGGACGCGAATTCCAGCCGATGATGTCGACATTCCATTACAAACATCACATGTACATGGTCCTTTATATTTATTGATTAGGTCTATTGGTACCAATTATTAAATTTACAGTTACCTCTTTGAAGGTGCCCTGGTGAGCTATGTATTGCCAAAGGCTACCTTCGCATGAATTGCCTTGCGAGGCCGTGGGTTGTTATATTGGATAATGTTGTTATCTTGGATAAGAGCTGGTGATGTATTTCTGTTTCAGTGTCCCGATATGGCAGGTCGATGGGCATTCTCTGGTATGGAGGGCCAGAGAATGAATAATGGTAATGTCTGTTTCTTTTTTGACCCCCGGTGTGGCAGACCGGCGGTTGTTAATATCTTTCTACATCTTTTGGATCCATTAATATTACATATAAAAGGCCTTGTTAAAAAATTAATCAAATATTCTAATGACATCAAAAAAATTGCACACACTTTTAAAATTTGCTACTAGTTATTATATAGATGATAAGAGTTGTTAAAAATGAGATGTCAATATTTTTAAATTACTTAGAACTACTGATATCAGTTAAAATTTTTCTTTCTTTGCTTGATCTCATTTGTTAAGATTTAATTTTCTTGTTTTTTGTGTGTTTGTGTGTCTTGTAAGTTGTAAAAATTTGGATCCATCAATTTTAAAGACATCAACTATATTGTGCGCACTTCTAAATCCACTTCTAAATTTAAA